CCCCCTGATGGAGGGATGCCCGCCCCCCCACCACCAGGAAGGGATGACTGGGGGACATCCCTTCCCCTGGTTTTCTCCTGGAATGGTAGGGGTCAGAGCCTTCAGGTTCCAGGAGATGGGGGAGGCAGCTTACCTCCAGGGTGCCAAGCCCTACTGCTCACCCCACACCCCCATGCCAGCACCTGTGGTTGCAAGAGCCCAGGGTGCCCACCCTCCCCCACACGCAGGCCCAGCAGCGCCTAAGGTTCCTCCCTGCCAGCCCCTTCCCACTAGGCTGGCACCAGCAGGAGGGTCTCCACTTCCCAACCCCAGGAGTCAGACCCTCCTCACCCTATTGCCCTACCAATTCCCCTGCCTGACAGCCCCCGGAAGTTCCTGCAGCACCCCCCATCCCTACCCCCACCCAAGATGGACCTTGTGGTGGCCACCCCTTAGCTGGAGGCCTCAGGCCTGGCCAGCTGGGTCCAGCCCAGTGTGTCCCCCACCTCAGACACACTAACGTCCCCAGAGCCCTGCCCTCTGCAGGAAGGGGAGGGGGGGCACAGTGAGGTGGGGGCTGCTGCTCCCCAAGAGCCACACCCAAGTCAGCCTGATTGGGGTGTTTGTGCCCCACAGAGAGAGTGCTGTCCCCCCACCCAGCCAAGGTGAAACACAGTCCAGCCAGGTCTTGGCTCTCAGGGTCCTGGTTCTTCCATGTCTGCTGCAGGAAGGAGGGACTCTGCTTCCTGGGGACCCTTTCTTGACTGACTTCTGTCCAGTAGGGATGCCTGGCTGGGCAGTTGCCCTGAAGGGGTTGCCCGCCCCTAGCCTCCCTGTATTTTCCCATCCCTCTCACCCAGCCAGGTAAAGCCAGGGGACCAGGAGGGAAGGCCCCAGGAGCCCCCCTGCTCCCAGGCAGCCTCAGTCCCACACCCACCCCAGTTTCCCCCTCCAGCTTGAAGCTGTTTGCCTGCCAGCCCCCTCCCCACAGGAGTGCTGACTTAGGAACTGGGCCCAGCCAAGTTGGGAGCTCCTGCCGGGTTGCCCTGCAATTTCCCCTCTGACTGCTATTTGTCAAGTCCAGGGTCACTGGAACAGGCAGGGCCCAGCCCGCCCCTCCTGCGGGCCCTTCTCTGCAAGCGTGCAAACACCGCTGTCCAGCCCTTTGCTCACGACTGTGGCTCCCACGCTGACCACACCCCTACTCGGCACAGACTGCTGTTCGCCTGAGCTTGCAGACACATTGCAGACTGAGATACGGCCACTGTATTTATGAATGACAAAATAAACCAAGCCCGGCGGTCTCCATGCCTCCTACTCCCTCTCTCCGGTCTGGGGTGGGGTGGGGTGGGGTGGAGGGCCAGGGCAGGGTAGGGGCAGCCCTCTCAATTCCCGGGGCCAAGGGAAACAGAAAGTAGGCCCTGTGGGAAGGAAAGTAGCTTGGGGTGCCATCCCCCAGGGGTCCACAGGGAATGGAGGGGTCCTTTCCCACCCACACACCACGCACATGCCCTCCGGTGCCCCCTCGAAGGGGATGGGAGGTGCTAGGGGGCTGAGGCTGGAGGTGTCTTGAGGGAATACTGTGCAGCCCACTCTCAGGGGCTCCCTCTGTCCCAGTGAGCCTCAAAGCCATGGGGGCTGAATCTTCTCAATTGGGAGGGGTAGGTTCACATCCCCAACATTCCTACCCACCCCAGCACCCCAGCTCCCTCACACCCCTTCCCACTCTGAGCCCCTCCCATTCCAATCAATGAAACTCAGGAACATCTTTTTGATCCAATCCTTTCCCAAAGGATTTATTAAAACACAGAAAACCAAAACATACACACAGAGTACAAAGTAAATGAGATTGTGTCGGCTAGCCCAGCAACCCTTCCCTGGGCCCAGCCACGGAGGACGGTGCCAGACAAGTCACGCTCCAAGGGCGTCTGGCTTCCTCAGCCCAGCACCCATGGAGGACCCTCCCACCTGCCAGCCCCAGGCCTCTCCAACCCAGCCTGGGCCTGGCTCTCTCCTGGGGTCCTTGAGGCCAGCATAGGCGGTGGGCTGGGTGGCAGGTCTGTTCCCTCCCTCCTCCCTCCCTTGGGCCCCCCATGTCCAGGCTGAGGGGAGCAGTGGGTTTCCATCTCTACACGGGGAGCTCAGGACACACACACATACACACACCCAACAAGACCTTCCTGGGTTATCGTACTTAAAAAAATACTTTGTTTAAAAAAAAAATCTGAAAATTAAGGAAAATAAATCCGAAAATATGACGACGCCAATGACTGGGTTGATGAGCCGCAACCTGTAAACATCAGGGTCTGGGGGGGGAGGGGGGCTGCACAGGAGGGGCTCAGGGTCAGTCAGCCAGGTGGTGGCCAGCCCACAAGATGGCAGACAGGGCCTGGCAGCTTCAGTCCCGCAGCCTAGTCCCTCCCACTGCACCCTGTCCTCCCCTAGCACACCCACACAGGTTCAGGGCCACGTGCTCCCAGTCCCACCCCCACCCCCACCCTGCAGATGATGTGAGAGTGAGGTCCGGGACTCGGCCGACCCCAATCTGAACCCCTGGGCAGGTAACCCCATCCCCCACCCCCCCCATCCCCCCCCACACACACCTGGGAAAAGCCAAATATTTAGACCACCAAGGTATTTCCAAAGGGGGCTGTCTGCACATCGTGTGTCTTGGGGAGGAGCTTCCATGGCAGGTGTGTGTGTGTGAGGGGAGCCCCCTGGACATGGCCTGTCCAACTCCCCCAATACTCGCAGGCCACGCCTTCTGAGACCTGGGCCCAAAGGCAGGAGGCTCAACAGAGAGTCAGTCGGCGCCAGGCGAAATCATAGCACAGCTGGAAAGAAAAAACGGGCTGGGCCGGGGACCCCTGTGCACACAGGAACCCCGTTCTGCAGCAGCAAAAAAACCAAACCCCACCCAAAGGTGCCCGGGGCAGCGGATGCCACCCCCACCGCCAGCAGCACTTCCGGCATGAGATAACCAATAAACCAAAGAGAAAAACTAAACCCATCGAACAGAGAGCTCCCCAAGCCCCCGCCACCAGCCCCACCCCACTTCCTGGGTGCTGGACAACATGGAGCCAGGTGGGGCCAGACTGTCCGGGGGAACCCTGGCTGGGCCTCTAGCCTGGTATAGGTGGACAGCAATGTGGGGCTGGAGAGGCTGTGGACAAGTTGGGAGGTGGCAGGTATGGGGAGGGACCACCAGTCCTGCCACTGTGGGCCCACTGTGGCCAGGGAGGACAGCACTGTCCCATCAAGGCCAACCCAGGACTAATCAAGTGGGGACAAGCTGAGATGGGTCACCCTCCCAGGGCCTGAGGCAGGAGGCACTGGCCAGAGAGGCCACCGTGGTTCCAGGGCCGGATAGCAGGGCCAGGGGTGCGACTCCATGTCGCTGGGGTCTGCACTGCCCTGATGCACTGGTACCACGCTGCCGCTGCTAGGGTGCGTGGGTCTTAGTGGAAGTATCCAGGATGGAAGGGGCCTGGGGGTCCAGCCCCATCCTGGGGTTCAGAGAGCCAGTTAACAGATGAGGACACGGGACAGGTCTGCAGCCCCACATGCACAGCACAGACAGCGAGGCAATCGTGAGCATGGGCTAGCCGGGCCTCTCCCTGGCAGCCCAGCAGGCACCCTGCCAGCAGCTCACCAAGCCCCTCCCCCACCGGACCAAGATGAGTTCCCGGGCAGCCCACTCAGGACCCCTCCACAGTCCCTCCAGCTAGGGTGAGCTTCAGGGTGGGATTCGGAAAGACATGGGGGCATTCCCAGCAGACATCAAGGCAGGAGGCCAGGAGTGCCCAAGGAAAGGGACCTAGGGAGGCCATCGGGTCCAGAATCCCCTGCCTCTAAGCAAACTTCTCCTCAAGACAAGTTAGAATCCCCCTGAGGCCTCTCAGGGACAGAAGAGCAAGGGACGGGGCATCCAGGCTCCAGGGGTCAGCAGTGGAACTGTGCACAGGGGTGAGGAGTGAGGGCCCTAAGCGCAGTGCTGCCAAGGGTAGCCTCTTCCTGCAGGACCCCGAGACCCAGGCTGAGCCTGCATGCCACCCCCAGGAGTGCACGCCCGGGCCTGCCACACACACACACCCCCCCCCACAGGGGCAAAGGGCCCACTGCTCACAAGGACAGGCCAGGGCTGCAGACCCGCCAGTTCAGGACAGACACCTGCCTGCCTGGTGGACTCCAGTCCCATATGGAAAGGGATGGACAAATGTCCCACCTGGCATCCCCGGGCCTCTGTCATCCATCTGGACAGTCCCACTCAGCACTGGGAGTCGCCCCAGGTGGGTACGGACAGGGGCAAAGGCGCAGTCCCACTCGCACAGGCGGGAGGGCAGGGCCGCCAGGGGGGCTCCCAGGCTCCCTGGCTCCCCTTTGGGGCAATCCACAGGCAGCAGCAGGCTTCCAGAGCTTCCTTCCAGTCTGGTGTCCGGGGATAGAGGGGGAGACCTAAGTGCTTCGAGGTTAGAGGCCTCCGCACGCCATTCAACCTTTATCAAGACAAACGTTCAAGTCTCCGATATGAAAGTGCACGGGATGTACAAATCAACAATGTCTTCTAGGAAGCCATAACCGAGGGCTGCGTGTCTGGGTGGCTGTGGGGGGTGGCTGTGTGGAAGAACACTT